CCACATGGCCTGGTGGTGTTACAACAATTACCCTGTTTCTCTGGCACCAAAATCTGTCTTAGTTACTTTTCTCATGCTGGACAAAATACCCAACACCCACAAGTTAAGGGAGGAAAGGTTTATTTCAGTTTACAGTTTGTAGAGATTTTAGTCCAGGGTCAGTTCGCTCCAAGGCAGGGCAGCATGGCAAAAGGTATCACAGAGGAGGAACTGTTCATGGAATGGCAGGCAGAGGACAGTGAGCAGCAAGCAGCACTGGCAAGACTTCTCTCCTTCCCTTTATATTCTATTCAGGTTGTAAGCCTATTGATTGGTGCCACTCATACCCTGGTAGCACTTCCATTATCCACATCATTAATCCCAGTATCACACCCTTAATCTATGTTTATACACCCTAATCCAGCCACCTTTGAAACTCCCCACCTATGAATGCATGAGGTTTGGGGAGGGCCACCTAGATACAAGGTTTAACGCCATGGCAATGGTCTTCTCTCCTTTTTCAAAAATACTTACTTTTTTTCTTGGAGTGAGTAGGATTTCTAAACCTATACAATAAGACTCTGGATACAGTTACATAAGTATATATTTTATGCTTAAGGTATATTAAAAGGTTACAGTGCTCCAAATCAGGCATTATTAGTTTGATCTACTAAAATTTTATTGATGTTCAGTGAATGAAGTTATGTCTGCTTCATCACTGTTTAGGCTTATTACAGCCATGCTCTGATACAAGGAATTTTGTGGCACTGCCTGTCTGTGAAAATAGAACCACAATTTCTCACTGGGATGCAGCAGTGCCCCTTTGAGTAGATAAGATAATAGTAGTCCTTCCCTACAAGCATAAATTTTCCTGGTATGTAATATTTCCATGCCCAAATGGTTGATTTTTAACAGGATTGCTCTTTGCTGTGAAACTATCAGTATATGCTGAAAGTTAAAATAATAAATAACCTATGAAAATAGTTGCTGTGTTTTCTGTAAGGTTATTATTTCCTAGATCTTCTGTGAGGCTCCATGGAGAAAATTTCTCTTTGGAAAAGTGTAACTGTCTGGAGTAGCTGCTCATCTTGGTTCTCTATAATGCAGGAGATAGCAAACTTTTTTTGTAAAGGACCAGATAATAGATATTTTCTGCCTCACAGGCCATATATTTGTTTTTTAAAAACTCATCACAGGGCTGAGGATTTAGCTCAGTGGTTTTGCTGCCTGCTGTGCAAGCGCAAGGACCCAAGTTCAATCCCAGGTACCAAAAAAAAAAGCCATTATAGGGCCAGAGATTTAGCTCAGTGGTGCTGTGCCTGCCTCACAAGCACAAGGTCCTGAGTTCAATCCTCAGTACCACCCCCCCCCCAAAAGCTATTCTACTTTTCTATCATTGCACAAAGGGAGCCATCAGCATTTGAATGAGTGTGGCTATGTTCTAATAAAACCTAACTAATGGGTGTTGAAGTGTAAACTTCATATGATTTTCATCGTCGTGAAGTATCTTTCTTTTGATTATTTTTCATCATTTGGAAATATAAAAAAGTTCTCATGACATACAAAAGCAGATGATGGGCTGAATTTGGCCTGTGGTCCTGAGTTTGCTGACGTCTGGTATATGACAGAATGCCAAAACACTTGTTTTATACATTTAACACATGCTCTCAGTCCCCATCCTGAGCACCTTTCTCATTAAAAATTACAACAAAATATTTTCATGTTTAAATTACAAAATGAGTGTTAGATTGCAATAGACAGTTGGTAACTATGTTCAAGATGGATTGGATCTTGAAAAGACTTTTTAGTGCTACATAAGCAAGCCTCAAAAACAGACTTCCAGATCACCTACAGCAACCCCAAAAGGAAATGAGATGGAACAATCTGATACTCAACCACCTGGACTCTCTGAACTGGCAACAAAAGAGGATTTGGGAAAAA